TAAGCTATTTAGCAATCGATTTCTTAATTCAATGTCAAGGTCTGCCTTGACTACTTTTGTACTGATATATAAATATTAAAAAGTATTGAATAGATTAGATTGAGATGTTTGTACCATTATGCATCATTGCGTTAGTACTATTAGCTTATGCTCTTTGATTGTTGACATCAGCTGCTTGCTCTTTTTCATTCTCTTAAGAACTGTAACAAAATAACACTAATATGTAACAAAATAGCTAAAAATGGGTTGTTTTTTAGCAATAAAATGACACTTCAGCGCATAAAACGATACTTTAGATGCCAATTTTATTATTAGTGCTTCGCCTAGCTCTTTCTCAAGTGTAGGTACAGCATTCCCTTGACAGATTTAATCCAGTTTCATGATTCTATTGGAACTTGCCTTAGAGTATTTCTTCGGTCATTTTCGAAAACGTTTACTAATAGCTGAGCTTTCATCCTTTTTTATGTAATTAATTTCGTCCTTCAATAGTGAAATTAGATTCAATAGTTTAGATTCTTCTAAAATATTCAAATATTTGTCCGTGTTTTCCATGTTTCCTATTGTATTGAATTTCATTGCGGCTGAGTCCAATATTTATGCTCTTTTGAGCATCTAAGTCTATTTTTCTTTTAATTGCTATTTAACTGGGAATAAGCCACAATTAAAGATAAAAATACGTTTATTGACGTTTCAATTTCCACTTCGGAAATCGTTCTCAAAATACAAACAGTAAATTAAACAAATTTTGTTTTTTGTTACATAGTGAAAAAATTCTTCTAATAATTTAATTTTATCTGACTCATTTATATTGACAATTCAGACATACATTATGCATTTTAAAGTAGACGACTTTAAAATGATATTGCCAATATTGTTGAGTTGCGCTCCTGGGACGACTTTACTTATAAGATAGTTCATTCGATTACATGAAATCAACTTTAACTTGAGAATATCCGTCAGAAAAAAATCATAGCATATAATTCGTCTTTAAAAAGACAAACACATGACATGATGACAGTAAAATTCTCCTGTTAGTGATTCCATAGTAAATTATGAGGGAAAAACCAGGAAAAAAACCTCATAATACTATCCCGACATGGTAAGTATTTGTTCGTGCAATTAGTTTACCTTCAATAAACACCAAAATTCTGATTTTGTATGTTTCTTTATTTAAAAAACATAAATGATGTATCCTCTATATGTTAGTGACTTACTAATACTGGTATTTTCTTATTAATAACTTCCTCTTTCAATATTGGTAACCAGATCCTATTACATTCTGCCGAGGAATTTGCGACACAATTGGCCTCATTTAGCATAATTAAAGCCGCTTCTTTGATTTTTCTTTTTTTACCATCCGTCTCTTTTAGGACTACATTTGAATTATTCCATTGAACCCTATGTTCATTATCCCATGCGTGTTTACATATTTGAGATCTATCAAATTTTCTATTTTTAATATAATATTGATGTTCACTTATTCTAACATTTCATGGCCTTGATGTTTCACCTAAATAAAACTGATCGCATTCACAAGGTATTTTATAAATGCAATTCTTTGTCCTTTCTTGTTCATCGTTAGGTTTGGTTTTGGACAAAATAGATCTCAACGTGTTTGTTGTTTTGAATGTTGTTGAAATGTTGAATTTATTGCCTATCCTTTTAAGTTTTTCTGATAATCCTTTTATGTACGGTATTGTTATTTTCCTCGTATTATTCCTTGTGTATGCTGTAGGATCTCGTTCTAAGTTGTTCTGTTCTATTCGATTGATTGTTAAAAATTCCTTATTTATAAACGATAAAGGATAATCATTTTTTAATAAAACATATGTTAACAAATGTTTCTCCTCCAAGAACGAATTTTCGTTAGAACAAGTAATTTTGGCTCTATCGTATAAGGATTTAATTATTCCCTTTTTTACATTAATATTGTGATTTGATTTGAAATTTAAATATCTATTGGTGTGTGTTGGTTTTCTATACACCTGAGTCTCATATCCAGTATCGTTCTTAGAGATTAAAACATCCAGGAAAAGGTAGCGTGTTATTATATACCTTTTCCATGGTAAATGTTATTGTCTCTTCTTTATCGTTTATATCATTTAAGAATGTGTCCAACAACTCTGATCCACGAGGCCATATTGAGAATACATCATCTACATACCTCCACCATACTGTGGGTTTTAAATTTTGTTTAGAAATGATATTCGTTTCAAAATCTTCCATAAATATATCGGCTAAGAATGGAGATAAACTAGAGCCCATTGCTAGACCAAAATTTTGTTTATAGAATTCATTATTTAGTTGAAAATATGTATTATCAGTACATAATGTTAATAATTCCATTATAGCCGATATGTTTAGTCTTGTTCTAGTTGAATCATCACTCTCTAATTTTGTCTTGACTATACTTAAAGTCTTATTTAATGGCACATTCGTAAATAAACTATTTATGTCAAAACTTAGCAAAGTATTATTTGAATTAAATTCAATATTTGACAATTTATTTAAAAAATGTTGTGTATTTTTTATGAATGTGTCATTTTTATTTGTAAATGGTTTTAAAATATTTAATATAAATTTTGATAGTTCTCTACAAGGAGAATTCATGGTACTACAAATGGGTCTAAGTGGTATATTCGTTTTATGAATTTTCTGTACTCCATAAAAATGAGGAGTCTTACTGTAATAAGGTGTAATTAATTCTCTCTGATAACTTGTTAAAAAATCTTTAACTTGAATAAAGTTCTATATATTTTGTTTTCCAAAGGCTCTGTTGAATCTTTTGTTAATTTTGTATAAGGTCGTTTATTATTAGATCTTAAATTTTGTTTTCGTATTAAATTTTATCCATTATCACAGTCGCATTTCCCTTGTCTGCTGGTAGGATGATTATGGAGTCGTCATTTTTTAAATAAGGGAATAAACAAATAAATAATTTGTAAGGGAGTAATTAAATATTGTAAGGGAGATATTTAAATTTCGAATCAAACCAAAATATTAATGTAAAAAAGGGAATAATTAAATCCTTATACGATAGAGCCAAAATTACTTGTTCTAACGAAAATTCGTTCTTGGAGGAGAAACATTTGTTAACATCTGTTTTATTAAATAATTATATCCTTTATCGTTTAAAAATAAGGAATTTTCAACAATTGACGAATAGAACAGAACAACTTAGAACGAGATCTTACAGTATACACAAGCAATAATACGAGGAAAATAACAATACCGTACATAAAAGGATTATCAGAAAAACTTAAAAGGATAGGCAATAAATTCAACATTTCAACAAAATTCAAAACAACAAACACGTTGAGATCTATTTTGTCCAAAACCAAACCTAACGATGAACAAGAAAGGACAAAGAATTGCATTTATAAAATACCTTGTGAATGCGATCAGTTTTATTTAGGCGAAACATCAAGGCCATTAAATGATAGAGTAAGTGAACATCAATCTTATATTAAAAATAGAGAATTTGATAGATCTCAAATATGTAAACACGCATGGGATAATGAACATAGGGTTCAATGGAATAATTCAAATGTAGTCCTGAAAGTTTTATCTTTAATTGTGGCTTATTCCCAGTTAAATAGCAATTAATTTAAAATGTCACAAGAAAATAGCTTCAGAACAATATTTTTCTTTTGTTCTAATGTTAAAAGTCGCTTTTCCTTCCTTAAATAAACTGAAATTTATTAAAAACAATTCGCACTAATTTTTCAACTATAAAACTTCTTTGTAAGTACCAAATCTTAATTTGTGGACCTCTCGGTGACATGTTGATCTAGAAACGTGTCCTGCATAACGTCACTCCATAAAACGCTATACTCCAAATAATTCGCTCGTCGATTTTTCACTATAATGCGTCTTAATGTACTTAGATCTGCTTCGGTTATTTTACGTTTTCGTACATTTCTAGGGTTTGTGACGACCGAACCTGTAGTTTTGTATCTTCTGACTATATTTCTTACACCATAGTGTACCAATTGCATTATATTCGCGATTGTGAATTTGATTTTCCAGAATTACAAAATCTAATAATGATTGAACAAATTTTCTCATCGATAACGTTACCTCGACCCATTGTACAATCCACAAACGGCAAAAAGCTTTACAATACTTTACATTTGACATTAACTGACAATATTATTGTTTTGATGTCATTTTTCCATAGCTGCCTCTAGATTTAACGTAATTATGAAAAATCAACGTATGCTAACAGAAGTGAATGCATATCCAGGGATTTGTGAATTTTTTTTATTGTTGAAAATAAATAAAAATCCATAAGTGTAATGTTTTTAATAAATATTAATATAAAAACATGCAGAGTATAATTTGTAAATGGTAATCGATTTAAACTGCAAATACCATAGGTGGGCCAACTGATATGGGAAGGGGATCGTATTAATCTCATCCGCGACTTCAAGTATTGTTTTATTGCGGCAATAAAAGAAATAGAACTGTAGAATATAGTTTGACGTTTGTTAGAGTGATCAGTTGCATTGTTTTCGCAGCTATAAGTCTCATATCATTTTTACATATCTTGATGATCATTATGACACTATTCCTAATTGAATGCAAAAAAGTGCATACCGATTTATCTTGCTGCGGGAAAATTGGAAGGTTTAGTGCTTTTTAGTACTTCATTGCCTTGCCTACAAGAATGTAAACCACAAAATGTTTCTCGATTAAAAATGATCTTTTCTATTTGTACAACGCATTCATTCCGAGAGGACGAACGAGTTTCATAATCGTAAATAATAATAAAATATAATCATGAACATTTCATATTTATAATTTTTTTTTCGGTTCAAGAACATTGACATCTAATTAAATCAAAAATTACTTCACCAGATGGTCTCTTTAAAATCCCGACTTTGTTTGAAAAATAATTTGTATGTTTGCTAATTACCTTATCATAATTTTAAACATCTAAATTAAACATAAGTTGTTTTTATGACAAAGATAAATAACTGGGTTGTTTTTGTTTTCAGATCCTAGGACTGCTGATTGGCCTCTGATGTCAGGTCCATTTCCTACATTAGTGATATGTCTTTCATATGTATATATAGTTAAGGTAATTAAATTTTATCTTTATTTGACAAAAATTTTAGATTTTTTACAGTACTTTAGCGTAATTTTCTACCATGTCATTTTTTATTAATCGAGAAAAAATATAAGATGGATTCAATATAAGAGATACTGTTAATTGTGTGTAAATGATACCAAACCATTATTATGTCATATGCTATATTAGTTATTAATAAAGGAAAACCAAACAAGAAAATTCTACAAAACTCTGAATAATGCAAGAAAGGAATTCAAACCAAGGCTCAGACTATGCAAGGATAAGGAGGGGCATATACTAAATACAAAAGAAGAAGTACTGAAAAGGTGGTGGAACATTTTAAAGAATTACTTACTATAGAAGATCCAGATCCAAATCAACCACCCGCAGGAGCAAGCAACAATTCACCATTAGAGCCTCCGTCAATGCAAGAAGTACGAGATGCAATAAAACACCTAAAAACAATAAATCTCCAGGAAGTGATGGTATACCCGCGGAACTTATTAAATGTGGAGTGATCCAATCAAATATATAAAATAATACTGAGAGCCTGGAATGAGGAACAAATCCGGAAGAGTGGTGTATTGGAATCGTTTGCCCGCTACACAAAAAGGGTGACCAATTGGAATGTAGAACTATAGGGGACTAACCCTCCTTAATACAGCATACAAAATATTTTCGAGGATCTTATATGGTCGCCTAAGTGCATATTCAGAGGAACTTCTCGGGGAATATCAAAGTGGTTTTAGGCCTGGTCGATCAACAACAGATCAGATCTTTGTGCTAAGGCAAATACTTAAAACCAATGAATTCAATATCGATACATACCATCTTTTTGTAGACTTCAAATCTGCCTATGATAGTGTCCTAAGAAATAAATTGTATGAAGCCATGAATGAGTTCCACATCCCGATAAACTGATAAGATTGGTTAAGGCTACAATGCGTAATGTGGTTTGCAAAGTCGAAATACAGGGCGAACAATCACAGGCGTTTGGAACGCATGTTGGGCTGCGACAGGGAGACGCGCTGGCGTGTCTCCTTTTCAACATAGCACTGGAAAAGGCGATCAGAGATGCCCGAATACACAATAGAGGAAATATTTTTAATAAATCATCCCAAATTTTGGCATATGCAGATGATGTGGACCTAGTTGCCCGCACAACACGCAAGCTAGAAGAAATGTATACCACCTTCTCAAATGCCTCAAAATCTATGGGCCTGCAAGTAAATGAGGAGAAAACTAAGATGATGGCATCAACACCCAACAATAGAGTCAGGAACATCGGTCCCCAATTCACGGTTGATAACTCTACCTTTGAAGTGGTGGACAAATTCACATACTTAGGCTCCCTGATCACCAAGAGAACGCCATAACGGAAGAAATCAAGCGAAGGATAATAATGGCAAACAGATGCTATTTTGGACTGAGTAGACATATGAGAAGTAGAAACTTAAGCCAAAAAACAAAAATAACCATATACAAAACCCTTATTATACAGCCAGTGTTGACATATGGATCGGAGACATCGACCATCTCCAAGGCAGACGAAGACCTTCTGCTTATATTTGAACGAAGGATCCTGAGAGGAATATTTGGTGGCATCTGTGAAAATGGTGTTTGGAGGAGGAGATACAACTACGAGGTATACCACAGATATAAACAAATATTTGGTGGTAAAGACGTAGTATCTCTTATAAGAATAGGAAGACTAAGATGGGCAGGACATCTAGCAAGATCACAGCAGAACAACCCTCCTAGAAGAATCCTTATGTCACAACCCGTGGGAAGTAGAAAAAGGGGTAGGCCAAAACTCAGATGGAAGGATGGTGTAGATGAGGATGGTAGAAAGATAGGCGCAGCAAACTGGCAACGGTTGGCAATGGATAGGACTGCCTGGCGTAATAGACTTGAGAAGGTCGAGGCTCTTTCATAGGGTTGTAGCACCATTGATGATGATAATGATGATAATGATGCTATATTGTAGGCTCGGGGTAGGACTTATTTCTGAGTCTTTTGCATAGATTTATTAGTACGGGTTCATTATATCAACCTGTATAATCTGGTCGGAGCCTGCGATGATCTGGTCTTCGGTACGTCTGGATGCCCAGCTATTTCAGGTCTCCTCAGTAAGCGAGGGCCAGGCAGGAGAAGACCTCGTGGCTCCAAAATCTGCGGAAGTGGTTCGGGCTCACATCGGTTGAACTATTCAAAGCGCCGCAGAAGCAAACAAGATCAGAATTGCCATGTTAATAGCCAACGTTCGCAACGGACAGGCCATATGAAGAAGAAGGAGAACAATAGTGGGCAAAACAAGAAGAGACAGGGTGAGAAATACAAACGTTAAAGAGCACTGCAAAATTCAAGATATTGTAAGATGGGGAAGGCAGCGTAAGAGGATGTGGTACAACCCATGTAAGACAAATGGATGAAAATAGACTCCCAAAAATTGCCCTTGAAAACAACCCGCCTGGTTCAAGCCGCCGGAAAATATGGACGCATAGTTGGCAATCTACCTCCCAGGAAATTAACCAGGGCAGCTTCAGAATTAAACAGATCTAAAGATCTCCAAGAAGTAGAAGAAGAAGAAGAAGGGCACAGTATTGCCCAAATCTGTTATAGATCATTTTGAGCAATTTAGCATGTTTCCAAGTTTATGCCAATATTTGGTCATCATACGAATCATGTGTAAGTTTCCATAAGCTTAATAATGTTTGGCATGAACATAAGAAGCTCTATTCGAGCATAAGCTCGAAGAGCTTATGCATAAGAATTTTTTAATCTCCCAGGCTTTGTATTCATATTTTTGTGAGATTATACCTTTAATTTGTCTGCACCTTCTTTTCCCGTTGTGTATATTTATTAAAAACGATATTGTTGACTGTATTATTGGGAAAAACCCAATCGTTGACTTTTCTGAGAATATCGTACTCAATAGGGGTTCCAATAAATCTCGATTTAAAGTCGATAAAAATAGCAAATTAGTTAAAAAGAGGATCCCTTTGAATTCAAATTTTAATGGACTATTCGATATTTATGTTTACCGACCAGGTGTTTCGTGTAGCAGGTATTTTCTTATTTAGTATTGACGTCAATGGAAGAGATAAAGATTCATTAATAAATATACCAGAGAGGATAAAAATATTTTAAATAAATTATTGCTATCATAGTCATTTGTCATAGTATGGGTTTAAGGTGAAGGACGTCATAAGAAGTATAGTTTTATGAAGAAAAACGATTAACATTCCAAATAAGTAATGGATGTCACAATCAATAAAAATTAAGGCAAAAAAAATTAAAGGTGTAAAAAATATATAATAAATGTATAATTCTAAAAAATTGGAAACATTTAAAATTGTTCACATCGACTAACAAAATGCGGAACACAGATGGAAAACTGCTTGAATTGACCGAAGACAAACTGAAAGAATAAGAAAACCTTCCTATTCTTCTTCTTCGTCTCATATCCTTCTGCCCTCTCAGACGTCGGAAAGAATGGGAAAACCATTACTTTTTAACGGCCAAGAAGAATGAACAACAACAACGAAAGGCCAAAAGTTCGTTTTCATTTACGATTTTGTTGTTATTATAACAAGTACAGAGTGAACTCGTTTTTTAAATATGTTGCGTATGTCTTTTCTTTTTTGTGCCTAGATATTACATGCTTAATTTCCTCGCACTTTTCTCTCATCCATTTTCTTTTGGCTAATTGTATCTACCTTTTAATTCTTCTCTGTAGATGTCTACATTCGGTTTCATTCGATTTTATAAGTCGACATTGCTCTATCAATTTCAAGATGTCTTCTGTCATCCATTGATTTTTCTTGATTAAGATTAGTTCTATAATCATTGTTTGTGGAGATTTTGTTAACTTGGTTTTTAAATTGATTCCATAGTTTCTCTGGATCTTCTACTTGTTCTTTATTCTATTGTTAAATTCTTTTTCAATGTTTAATCTTGACAATGCTTATATCGTCAAAATAATTATATTGGTTTTTGGCTGTTGTCGTTGGATTTGTTTCAACCTTAGTTTAATATCGGCCACAAGACGTTGGTGATCAGATCCAATATCTGCTCCTGGAAATATGTATATTGACTTTTTTGACAGCATTTCGAAAGCGCTTACCTACAAGTATATAATCTATTTGGTTTCTTGAAAAACCAGGGTCGCTGCCATCATCAATGTTTTTTTATACACCCCTTTAATGTGAGTTCTTTCAAAAGCAGTAGTGTGGTAAAATTCTATTGTAGAGTCTTGAATTATAGGGCCTCAACAAACTGTAAGATAACTAGCTTTCAAACCAAGAAATTTACATCTAGCGTGACTAGTGATAGAAGGTTCCTGATGTGGATCAAACCACTTAACATAACCTAGCCTAGTAGACT